ACTGCTGGCTGCAAAAGAGGCTAATTCAGTTATAAATGCTATCATTTTCCCTGTTTAGGGAAAATTATTCCATGCAACTTGCTGGCAAAGCCAAACAGGCACCTGAATATCAGATTCCAGCTCCATATGCCTCTAAATTTAAACACCTAACTAAAGTTCTAAGTGTGATAAAAGCCACAAATCAGAGTAATAGTGTAGTGTTACACACATTGTAAAAAGATCATAGTTTGGTATCCAGCACTTCCATCTGTAGGATAAGTTGTAGAACTTAAGTGACTTTGTTTTCATCTTAAAATTATTTAAAATATAACAAATCAACATTTTTTTTCATTAAACAGTCTTTCTTTTTTTTTTGCCAAAGGAAGGCTTCATCTTCCCTTTCCCTTGTGTATTGTTTTTTCTTGACATTCCCATTCTATGGGTGGAGAGCTGTTCTGAGTGACAGCTTCCTTCCTAGTCTCCCTTCCTTCCTTACAGACTTGTGTCATGCCATGTTGTCCAGCCAGATGTGATTAAATATGAGCTCCCTAAAGGCTGTTGATATTCCTGTGAATTATCCATAGGTTTTCAGTGGAAACTACACTACGGCTGTCTCAAACCTACAAATAAAAGTTGGGAACTCCTTGTGAACTGAGTGTAGCCCCATGTAACTATGAACTGGCTTAGCTTTACTCTGTACAAATGTGTATTGACCTGTTCTTACAGTTCTAGCCAAAAACTTAAGGCTGTTTCTTCCCTGTAAGCCCTGCTCAGTAATTCAAATCTTGGTCTTGCCTCTCTCTTCTCTCTCTCCATCGTTTGTGTGCGCTTTTGTTCTTTTCCATGTGGATGAATCTTTTTCACCTTTCTTGCATAGGTGAAGGGTTCAAATCTCTGCAGTATTTTTTCCTATTCAACTTTGTAACTAGTGCTGTAGACTCTGGCTAACCCTGAAAGCTCTTTGTGTGAGCATTACAGGTGAAGTGTACTTCCTAGTCTTTCACAAAGTGTTGGATGAGCCAGTTTCAGAGCACTTCAGTGATCAGGTCATTTTCTCTGTATAATTAAAGGGGAGAGAATCTAAATCAGAGGACTGCTGTTTCTTGCTAGTACCTAGCAAACATCACAGAACCTATTGGTGACTAGTTCATGATAAAATCTACTAGACAAATATTAAAACAAAATAGAGAATCTTTAACAGAAAAGAGGCACCCCAGTTCTGAGTCTGAAGCATGGGGAACTTCAAGGAATTCTCTTTACAGCTGAGGGTTATGCTTTAGAGGGTATGAATAACAACTGAGCCATTATGATCCCTTTAAAATATAAAGTTACCTAGATCAGAAAAGCACCCTCAAGAGGTTAGTGCTGGTACTGGCTAGGTAAAAAGGAAGAGGAGGTACACTGTGAAGGAGACAAGGCATGAGACTTATCTACAAGACTGAATTCTAGCCTTGTAATCTTTCAGTAGATCTTGGTCACCCTTTCCTCCAGTTTGTAGAAGCTAATGAAACTGAACATGCATGCATTCCTCAGAAGTTCAGTGTACAGTCACCTGGTCATAGAGATTCTTGTCACCTGTGATGGCAATACTGGCTTGTGGTGTATGTTAGTGTGTCTTTTACAGTGAAAATTTAAGGACCATTTGCTTATATGTATGCAGTGTTGTCTTCTTTCCCTGTAAAGTAAAAATGCTTCTACTTGTTTAGGGTAGGTTAATGTTCAACTAAGCACCATTTCCAAATGTCTTCTACTCCACTGCTGGAAAGCAATGCATCATTGCAGTAGGAATTCTAACAGTAATGTTAAAAATGGAAATGGGCTTTTAGTGTAACATGTGTAACCCACTACCAGTTTCTTGTATTCTTTTACTATGGACTGTACAAATGAATTTTGCAGTCACTTTGGTGAAACTGTTCTCATCTGACCCCTTTATTTGCTGCTTTTCCTCTTCTACCTTTTCCAGAATCTTATGGTTGAAAGTGCAAGCATGTTTTCTAATTCCTACTCTAGATTATACACTTTCAAAGAAATGAAACTACTGTGTAATTTAGTCAAATCAATCTGATTTAACAAAAAGGTGCATCTTTTTCTTTCAATGAAACATGTAGAAAGGAACAAAAATGTATGAGAAATATTTAAATATGTAGGCACAGAAAGATTTGGATAACTGCTGTTTATGTGAAAGTTCTCAAACTAGTTTTTATAAATTTCACATACAGATGACTGTTTAATGGGAAGAAAAGCTTGAATTAAATCTTGAGTTTCCTTCATCTTTGTTTAATAAAAACTGAAGGCATAGCACTTACTGTCAGTAATTCTTCCTAATTAAAAAAAAGCCCTGAAGCTTGTGTCTTGTTACAGAGTAATTGTCTCCTGCTGCAGTTACACAACAAAAAAAACCCTTCATATTCAAACTGTTTGTTTTGCTGGTAGGCTTAAAACACTGCATGTCAAACTTAGGGTACTTTGTCTTTTTCATGTAGAGTCATGTAATAGATCTCTTCCAGTTCCTAAAGAAATCTTCCTTAAAAAAACATGACCCATGACTGTAAACCTGTGTACTTTGGTGGCAAGAAATTTGGAATTTTTGAGCTAAGAACTCTTATGTTTGCAAGTGAATTACTGGAGTGTCTTCACTTTCTGAACTGGAGCACTTAGAGTTCAGCAGCTGGTAAAAATGAAACAGCCTGTCCTAATGAAGTTAAATCTAGAAACAAAAAACAAGGCAAAACACCTCAATCTTATTGTAAAAACTGAGCAATTATTGGCTAAAAAGGTTGAGCTGGAAGGCTTAAAATGTAATTGAATGAAACAAAAATTCTTGGTGTTGAGTTGTAGCAGCTTCTTTTGGAGAACAGAAGTGTTTATGCCTTAAGGAGTCAACTTGTGGAAGCTGCTGCTTAAATTAACCATGAAGATGTGATATATTTTCCGCATGTGAAAATCTGGTTACTTGTTTGAGAAGATAGGATTGTATCAAATAGGTAATGGCTTTGCCACTCCATCATCCTGACGCTGAGCATGCAATAGCAGAGATAAAGACAGGAAACATGGCCTCTGATGTACATTAGTGGAATCCTGCCATGGCCTCGAGTGGAGCTAAAAATTGGCTCCAGACATGTGAACATTCAGCAGTGTCCTTTGATCTGAGTGAACTTTCAGAGTTCTTCAGTGTGTGCTGTGTATTTGAAAGGCTGTGATTCTGTTACAGCTACTTCTGCCATTTTCATTCTGTCATGTTCCAGCTCCTTTTCAATCATTAAAACAGAGGAGGGAGAGATCTTTGAGATGCTGTTGATTTGAAGGTATATTGACCTACTCTATAAAAAACTGTGCTTAAAGTTGAACAAGCATAGTGCCATTTGCTTTTTTTGTTTGGTTTTGTTATACAAGATGGTAAGCATCTGCTGAAGTGCTTTGGTGCTTCAGCATCCCTGGTTGTTACCATGTTAAGTGTAGACAGTCCTTAGGATTTCAGATGTTTTGTGGAAAAAATTACTCTCTGCTCCATATGAGGCATTAAATTCCTGACAAAATGCCTTCTGTGACCGTCGCAATTTTCTTAGAAGAAAAGTTGGGATCTGGAGTATTAGGAAGCACGTACACAGCTTTAATATGCACTTCACGAGTTTTTGCACTGTGATTTAGCAGCTCAAAGAAGGGACCAGGGATTACCACTCTGTTCCTACTGTTTAGATCTTAATGTCTTGTCTTCTAATGAAATATATAGGAATAAGCTTATTTAAAACCCCTTTAAGTGATTTGTGATAGGTGTCTTATGCATCACCAGAAATCGAAGCCATCTCACATCATATGACCTCCTTTGAAATTTTTTTGTTCTCAATATGGCAGTTTGTTTATATAATGAGATCTTATCTGCTTCAATAATAGCACTTACCATTAATTTATATATAATGTCTATATGCAGAATTGCATATTACATGGATGTTGGGGAAAATACAGTTTAGTTTGCCCTTTTTTACTTTATTTTAAATCAAAATGTATCTTTGCTATTGCTGTTTGTGGATTGTGCAATTCTTGGAGCATTGCCTAATTTATCCAATGTTAATCTATTACTTGCTCAGGGGAACAAAGGAAAGGGGGAGGATGAGAACGTAGAGTAAAATGACAAACTTTGATTTCCTGAGGTCATTGCTCCCTCAAATGTCTATTCCCTAGATGATTCTTGTCAGAAATAAGTTAGACCTGAATGTAATTGTCAGAGGTCTTGATGGCTTCTTTGGAATGTCTACCAGTATAGTGGAAGTGAATTAGAGGACGAGTAGGTAATATGTCACACAGTGTAAATTCAGAGAGCTATAATTTGTACCCAAGTCTCAGTTCCCATGTCAGTAATTTAGTTGCTTTCATGCAGAAATCTTCCAAAGCATACAAAGCTGGGTAAATGTAACTCTTAAAGTATAGATCTCATTACCTTGAGAATGCAGTCCATTCAAAGTGTCTGTATTTCCCATTGGTGTATCTGCAGATCTCTTATTCGCCTTACTTGCATGAAAACTACTTGCATGAAATTTTTAACTCCTTAACTACAACAAAATCTGTATGTATTTTTGTCTTCTCTGTAAACACTGACCAGATTACAGTGTACAGAACAAGGCTGGTAATTCAGATACATTTCAATGCTGTGAGGTGGTGATGAAGGAGGGGGTGCAAAAGGCAGCTTGCCCTAAAATAACTATTCGGTCATGTGAGTGGCAAATGCTTTTAAGCGTAATCTTAGTTCAGTGTGTGACAATTCACTTTACTGATGGAAGGACTTTGAACTTTATATTTTCTTAACTTGTGTATCTGGTGGGCAACATCAGAGTCCTTCTGAAGTAGACTTCTAGAAGAGATACCAAATCCTGTTTATAGAAATGTAAGTGTGTACATTGCATGATACTTAGGAAATTCGAGTTTTGCATGTTTGGTAGCTTCCTCCATGCATGTTTAAAAATGATTTTTTTTCATTTAACCACATGTATTTCTTGTTTTTGTTTTTTGTTTTCCTTCCCCCAACAGCTGGCTTACCCCTTGGTGTTCTAAACTTGGCCAAAATAAAACCGTATCAGAGGGGCTTTTTCTGTAATGATGACAGCATCAAGTATCCGTTCCATGACAGTACCATCACATCCACTGTCCTCTACACAGTGGGGTTCACCCTGCCCATTTTCTCTGTAAGTAGCTAATCTATAGGGAGTTTTGGTGATGGGAATAAAATGTGTGTCTTTCAAGAGTTCAGCACTGACTGAGGTGAAGACAGTCTGTATAGGCAAGATCCCATATATGTATAGTAATATGCATGTGAAAGATGCTGTTGCTACTTTCTGTTTGCACAGGAAATCTGGGACTAATCTCTTGACTGCTAGTATTGCTAATCTCATTTGTTTTAGGAGCAGAAAAAAAGGAGATGAGAATTTAAACTGTGTTAGTCTAGGCTCTTATCACTGGGGATAAAAATGCTACAGGCTTCTGAAATGCTGTGGAATAAAATACATCTCTTGTTCAGAATGGGTTAGTCTGATGGCTTAAACACTTTGATGTTAAAACTTGCACTGTACTGGAGTACAGAAACCTATAACTAATGACTGTTGCTTCCATATACTTTCTACAGAAATAAGTCTAATTTGCACTCAGTGTGTTGTCTTAGGTTTAGAAAAAAATGTGGTGACTCTTTAAACCCTTCAAAATGGGATACAGAGGCTGAAAATCCAGTTGCCTGTAAAAAAGAGCCTCAGTGTTTTCAAGACCACATGATTTTTACAAAGAACAATTAACTCTTCAGTAGGCTTTTCTGTTTTATCCATGTTTGTATCTGAGTTTTTAGTAAGGTTTGAGCTGGTTTAGAGAACCAAAATTTAACTATTCAGAATAGACTTGAACCTGAAATTGCATCTTCTTGTTTCTGCCTACAATGGTTGTATTTAGAGATGGCCATAATATTTGGTTTTCTGATAAATGTATATGCTAAACTAATAAGAAGTGTATATTAAATCGGTTTAAGGATGGAAGCTATTGTTTAAAATGAATAAACAGAAAACTGCAGAACCTCTACATGGGTACTCTAGTTTTCCATTAAATGTTTATTTATTAAAGCTTGCATTAGTCCTGTGCAGTGAGTAGATGGTAGACAAAACAGTCTACTTTTGAAACAGTCTGAAGTTTGTAATTTTGTACTGATATATATCTTACAACTTCAGGAAAATTTATTTTCCAGTAGAGTTCATGTGTACCTTAACTGGTATGTACACAGGCAAACGAGCAGTTGCAGGTCTGTGGAAGTTGGACTTTTAAAGAGGCATTTCAGTTGCAGTTAGATAATCTGTTGAACTGCTTGATATTTTTGTCTTCTATTTTTAGATTAGAAGAAGTTGTTCCTGTAATAGAAAGTCAATTGAGAATGCATGGGGGGGGCTCTAAAGCAGTGGAGAAACACCTGATTTACAGTAAATTTACTTAAGAGTGTAAACATCTAAGGAGTTTGACTGCTATTGTAACTTTAGCTTCCAAGGTATCTAAAATTATAACCTAGGATTAGATTTGTCAGTGATTCCAGTCTATTCTGATATTTTTCTTCTATGATACTCTTGTAGGATTTACACAGTGAATTTTTATTGTTTGTCTTTGTGCAGGGGATCAAGTATATAATTGGAACAATCAATTCTGGCTTCTATGCAGAGATGCTAAAAAAAATATTCTAAAGTGTTTGTAGTTCTGTAACAACAATACAGGCTATCCAGATCAGTTTTCTTCAGTCTGACCATTTTACAAACCTTAACACAGATTTTTCTGGAATTTTGTGAGAAAGTAAACACTGTAGTGTGTATATTACTGTTCTGTGTAGTTAATATGTTAATCTAACTGGCTTTCTTGGTGTCAGTATTACATCGAGGGAGTTCTTCAGCCTCATGTAATAGGTGAGAAATCATTTATGGTTACTGAAAATGTAGAGCTAGGGTGAGTGTCTAGAGCTAGGGATGTTAAGATCTGTTTTTTCTACAACTTACTGAGTTGAAAGTGGGTTCCAGTTGCGAATGTTTTCTAGCTTTAAGCTTGCCTTTATTCAAAATGAACAGGGAAAGTTGATTAGTCTGGAAGCAGAAGAATCTGACATTCCAATTTGTTTTGGACTGACTCAATGGAGGCTTGAAACTTGTTCCAAAGCAGCTTAAGTTTTTTGGAAGTAGCATGTTCCAGAGTCAATATCCTCAGCAGGGTCACAGCTGGCTTGTCAAAGCTTATTGGGCAGTGATACTGATTATCCCACATCTAGTAAAAAATGTTATCCTGACTTTTGAGATGTTCTTGAAGGGAACAGGCTTCTCAATGAAGGAATTGACAGTAAAAATTGGGTCAAATACCGTGAAATAAGAGTTGATAAATTGCTCTTTTTGTGAAATTCGGAGTTCAAAGACTAGCTTGAACAGGGTACTCCTTCCTAAGGAGGACTTACACCTCAGCTTTGTCACATCGCAAAATAGAAGGAAGGACTTGTGGTAGGAAGCTGAGGGAGGGGAAAAGGAATCATATCTCCAACATGAAAAAAAGAATGGTTAATTAGGTAGTACAGTAGTTATAACCCTGCCCTTTAGCATTCAACAATGTACAGGTATTGCTGATACAGTTATTTAGTTCTTAGTCCCTAAAGCCTCATGAAATCTCAGCAGAAATGCTCAAAATATTATGCCTATGCCCCTGCTGCACTAACAGCTTGCTTGTCTTCAGAATGCAGTAAGAAATGGCTTGGACATCTTGATTTATAATAATAAAAGGTCTTGTCTAGTTCAGTTGATGGGGTAGGCCCCTAGTGGAATATAGAATACCTTCAAAAAGAATCCCAAACAACCCAAAACATACAGCAATGAGTAAGGCATAGATATTTCATTAAGAAGTCTCTCTGTGCGTAAAAAACTAGGCTGCCTGAACATTTACTTGTCTTCAGAACATTTTGTGAAGTTTTACAAGACATGTTAGAAACTTGCAGGGATCTGAAAAAAAAAAAAAATTCCTACAATTCCATTTATAGCAGTGAACTCTTTCTGTTCCCATTGCCACCTTTCATCAGGAAATAAAATGTCTGGGAAAAACTCATGTTTATTCTTTTGCAAGTGCCACTTCATTGTTTGATACTTCATAATTTTCCAAATTGTTTTCTGTGTCTGGATGTTAAGCATGATTTTGTATTAGAATTTTTGAAGACTTGCACTTGAGCCTTGGTAGTGCTCTGGAAAAGTAAATCTCTTTTGATGTCTAGGCCAGTGTCTGGAGCAGCACACATTCATGATGACTGACATCTCAAGAACCCCAGAAGATTATTCTGATGCTTCCACCTTCTGAAGTCTTTTCAGAGATGCTTAGAAAGTAATTCTGAATAGTCTAAAAGCCATGATTAGTCAGGGGGCAGTGTCCATAGATTGCAACTCTAGGAATATTTTGAAATTAATCTCTTAAGTAGAAGTTTTTGGTCTGTCATTGTTGACCTTTAGCTGTCTGCATGAGATTAGCTCTTCCATGTATAAATGACAGGTTAATGTCAGTGTCTTTCTCTCGCAGCAAGGTCCAACCATGCCTATTTGCATGTGTCCTGTTTCATTGGTCTTTTCTGGTGACCTCACCTCCAGATCAATTTCCTCTTCCTCCAGTCATCTTGCTGCTTAAAACTGCTGTCTTCAGTGACGCTCATATAGCTACTCTTAGATCAAAGGGTAGATGTGGTTGAGGGAAGGAGCAAAGGAGGTCTCTCTGAAGCATCCTTCTCAGCCAAGGAGCAGAAGGATGGAGCAACTCAAGAGTTGCTGAGTTTCATCTGCTCCTTGTGCTAGGTTCTGAGCAGGGTTTCTGTAGTTGCCTACCAAAGCTTTGCCTTGAGGAGAGGTTCAGGAGGTGAAGGGACACAATGCACTGGTGAGTTTCTATATGATGGATTGATTCATTAGAGGACAAGTGTTCAGTTCTTCTAACTCAGTCAAAGTGCCACATGGAGTTTATGGGAACAAAGTAGTTTGCCACAGCTGTTGCTGCTAAAACAGGTAATGCAAATGCTGACGTTCGTGACAGGGGGAAGTGTTCAGTAGTAGTACAGGGTTTTGAATAAGTCACTTCTCTGGGATGAGCTCTGCAGTTTGTGACTTCTTTCAGAGAAAGGAATGTTACAGACCCGTAGGACTTAATTTTTTCCACCTCAAACACATCCAAAAGATATTTAGGTTGTCAGGTCATGTTGTCTTCTACTTCAGAAAAGAAAACCAAACCATTCTTAGTTTGATTTGGCAAAGGCTAATGTCTTCAGTATTGTGATGCCTTCCCTAAAGGGACCTATGTAACTTTGCTTCTGTGCCAGCTTTAATGTGTTAGACATTTAACTTAATGTTCTCAGAAATGTCTCCTTCTACCATGTGCATCAATGTTCTGACTGTAACTTCTCCTTTCTACAGATTAGCACAGTCATACTTTGGAGGCAATCTCATTTCTTTTCTGGAAAAAAACCTAATCTTTTATGCTTTGTTTGTGGAAGGGGTACATTTTGCAGGGAAACTTTTACTGGAAGGACATATTTGATTAATAACATAAGCACTTGTTGGGCTAGTTCATATGCTTCTTGAGGGACAAATATAGCTACTGCTGTGGTAGAGCCTGGTAAAGCAGAGGACTAATGAAACCTGTTGAGGACTGTTAAATTGGTAGGTGTGCACTTCATTTTTCTGCAGCAGTGTCAAAGCTTTATGGCCCACTGTTGATAGCTTTTCAACTAATCAAAATTAAACCTGCTGTTTGACACTAGAGTAGGCTTTTGCATCCTTTAACTTTCAGGTATATATTTTATTATGCTCGAACAAGACTGCCTCTTACCTAGTAAACTTTTTCGAAAGGAGGATGATGTTTTATCTTGTTTTTCTAGTGTATTCATGGCACTGGAAATCTTTTTAGGCAGTGCTGTTCAACTTCATAATCTGGCATGAGTTCTACTTGATACTAACTGTTTATACAACCCATGTTTATATTATGTGAAGGGTTGCATGGGGTGATGCACTTTGCTTGAATTGATGAGTAATTACTGGGTGAGATCACTACTGTGGGGGACAGATGCTGAGAAATAACAGTTGCTGCATCCAGCTTTGGCCCCACTTCTGCCCTGTCCATGGCAAGCAAGGGTGTTTTGGTGGGCTTGGTTTGAAGT